GATCGCGCGCCACCGCCCTCACTGGACGAGCCTTTGGGATTTATCCTGCCGGACCTGATCCCATTCACCTTGGAGAACAAGTATCTACCCAATGTGTTCGGCAGAGGATGCCTTCGTTTGGCCGCGCCGCCAAGCCCGCCGGAAGGTGAACGGATACCGAGGACATTGCTTCATGCCAAACTGTTGGAGATGGCAGCTACCTTCTACGAAGAACTACAGCCCGCTGAGTTGACCCGGGAAATCGAGACGCCCTTAATTCCCTCGTTGTAGGACGAGGAAGCAGGTCTCCTGTGGCAGATTCTAGCTACACAAGACAAGGCACATTGAGGTAGCACATTATGCTGACCCGTTTTCTGGCAGTGCGCGAAGGATATCATGCTTGAGCCAGGGTGAAGAGGCTTGATTCTCCAGGGCCACGGTGTTGAAGTTGCTTCGGGACCACAATGCGGAAAAAACGAGAAGGCGCAGACGCGTTCCTCCGATCACGCTATGGTTCAATTGAGACTCAAGATCTTCCGGCGAGCTTACACACATTGTTGCTCATTATCCCGTCGTCAGACCGCCGGCTGCGCTTTTTGCGCCGGAGCGAGCGCGGCAGAGGCTACTCGGCTGGGGTCCCTGATAATGGCAATGGCAAAACATAGTGCTACCGATGTTCTCAGCTCCGGTGTCTGGGTCGAGACGCGACTAGTTGATATGCTAATAACAGATAGTTTTGATCGCTCATGGTACAGGTTGATGCACGCTCTAAGCTGCCAAAGAAGTCGATCTATGTGCTGGATGTCAAATTGGTAGAGAATAACAAGCCAGCGGTGGGATGCTCGAACTACTGGAGAGAAAGCCACGGGCGGACGCTGCCTCGTGACGGAGGCGCGATTTATGGGGCAGATTTTGGGGCCTCCTAGTGTGAGGCCCTTTGCCCTTCGTGCGTCGCAGGGGCATTCAGTGAGGACGGTGCAGCCCGAGCGCGTATATCCTCGTCATCAACCAACTGGCAGAGATACGCCAAAGGCGATGGTATCCCATCTCACCGTGCCGAGCGTCTTGCAATCGATGATTGACAAGATGGTTCTGCCAGAGACTGACATAAGTGGCCAACGGCAGTACAGAAATATGTCCGCGGTTCCTGTCAGACTGAACGTCTTCGCGCGACCAGACGACTTAGCCGTAGAGACAGCAGAGGACAACGCGCGCGGCGGAATCACCCTGGTGCAGCGGAGAGATGGAGAATGCAGTGACTAACCGGGACAGTTCCCGCAATGGCCTTGCCCGAACGGATGGTCAAGAGCGCTCGCAGCTGATAACCTGGATGTGCGGGTATTCGACGTAGACGACTCAGAGAAGCCGTGTGGCCAGTGCGTGGCGACCATCTCGCCGCGGATTTCTGACAATGCAACTTTCTGGTGGTGCCTGATGGCTCCCTGGCGATTGGTTTCCGTCCCCGATGGGATGGCACTCGCCAGATTTTGCAGATTGCCGTGTCCGATACACCCGTCTCGACAGTGTCGTGGGCTGTGGTGTTCGACCAGCGTTTCGGAAGGATCTGAACCGCTCCATTGCAGGATTCTGGCTGCATTGTTTATGTTAAGCACAAAGAAGAGTCATCATGTTTGGGGACCTGGGCGACCAGCTTGCTTCGCGTGCCTTCAAGCGCAAGTTGACTTCACCCACCCTGGGAGGACGGCTATCTTTGTTTGCTCGAGAGCGTGCCGCAATCGCCTGGGTGTGATCAGCTGCTTGCACTGCTTGCAGCCCATGTATATGAGCCAAGGCTTGGGACACCGAGTGCTCTTCGCCCCGCAGTTCGGTGGGAGACGCTGGGTCTCAGGAACAAGTTCCTTGGCATGGAAGTCGATATTGTTGCCCGGAACAGGGTTCCTGCGTCGATTGCGAGGCCCCAAACATATACGCAAGGTCGCACCACTCACAGAAACATATCCAAGTCTGAACAAAAGTGGAGAGATCCAATTTTGGTACAGGCTGGTTCTCCAAGGCAAGACTGCTTTCAAATTTCAGTTCATGACTGTACTTGCGTTGGGGCCTAAAGCAGACTGGGATACCTCGCCAGCTCAAGTTCATGCATGGCTTCAGAACAATGCCCGCCTGATGGGTCCTCGTGGGGCCAGTTTTCAACAGCATATGGGAAACCCAGCCGTCGGGCCGACGGCTGTCGTCCATGTTGAGGTGTGGTGGCCGTTTCTTACTTACCATGTGCGGGCCGACGATCACCATGTTTGATATTTGGCCCTTCATGTGGGACAACCTCAGGATGTTCGTCCGTGTCCGATACAGGCGCTCGAACCTTCGAACGGATAGGATGTCTGGTGGCGGGGAGAGGGTCAGGGACATCATCTTCCGACACTACCGCACCTGCCGGATCTCATCAGGGCCCGCGTCAACGACAAATCGGGACCACTCGAGCCGATCGATCAAGATAGTGAAGGTAAAGAGGATGAAGAGACGATTGTCTTGAAGATTCTGCCGCCGGCGCTGCGTCCTCCTCTCGCGGAGACAAGCGCCACGGGTAAACTCCACCGCCAAGGCAGATAAATAGATGCGTGAAGACAAGGACCATCGAACTTGGTGGCGAGGCATGGTGCGCTCAGAAGCGCAGCGGCGGTATGGCCCTTCTGGTCAGACTTCTACCGTCTACCGTGCGCCTGGATCAGAGCGTGTCACTGCGAGCGGTCCAGCAAAGTGGCCCTCTCACGATGAGCAGATCTCCTGAGAGAGGTTGGCGCACCTCGCCCGACGCGCCCCTAGTGCAGCGGGTAGAGGCGCCAACGAGGAACATGCCGTCCGACAGAGATCGGATGGGCAACATCACCCCGGGGCTGACGGCCGCGCCGCCCACGCCGACGGCGCCGGAAGACGAGGTGGCCGCGACGGAGTCCTGCGACGTGGCATCGGGACTGTGTCCAGGTGGCAGGGCGACCCGGCGTCCTCGCAAGCCCCCTGGCGTGCTGACACAATTGATCGCCGGACATCTTGGTCGCCCCCTTCGAGCTGGGCTGATTGGCAGGCCCCTCGTGGCGACCGGGTCCGGGGTGTCCGTGGTGACGACTGCCGCGGCGGCCAGTGGTGGAATAACAGTCGCTCAGGCGGCGTGCGTGGGTGATCTGCTGAGAGGATGTCTCAGTCTGACCCGGCTGCTGCAGAGCATGGGTGCAAACCGCAGGCGCGCCGAGGCCGTCGACGGGCTGTTTGCCTTATGAGTTGACGGCTGGCAGGCACGCGCCTCTAAAATTATATTTTTGGGTGGTGCGTGTCGGGGGGCCCTCGACTTGTCCTGCAAAGCGGCGACAGTGGTGCTCCTTGCTCTGCTGCCTGCGCCGTAAAGGCTTTTTGGGGTTGGCTCTGTGGGGGGCTCGAAGTGGCCCTGGGGGAAGGGGTGAAGGCTGTCCAACGCTCTCGGGGCTTGCTTAATGCTGTTCGGCATGTCCCGCCTCTTGTGCTTGGGATCTTAGCCAATGTGCTGACGTCCGCCCTGGCGATTTCACGCCGGGTGGCCGCGGGGTGAGCCGTTATTGACGCTCCCCTATCCCATTTCAGTTGCCCTCCATTCCTTTCCTTTGCAGGGTGTTGGTAGGGGACGGATGATGCAGAGAGTATGTCTCCGCAGCTGTGTACAGTTACTCGGACAAAAGCGCGCGCCGGCCAGCCAGGTGGGCTGGCCGCGCGCGCGTGCGCGTACACGCTACACTTATGCTTAGAGCAACTCCGCTTAGCGGACTTACCCACCCTTGCACTCACCAGCTCGTAGTTGGAGGTTTGCCTCTCGTGAGCTACGAGAAGAGTTGAACAATAACAACAAACATAGCAAGCCATTCATACCAAGAGACGTTTGCCTAACTGGATATTATATAGGCAGAAACACATGGATGACGAGGATCATGCGGATGAGGGGGGTCTGGGGTGGGCGTGGAGCGAGCGTGTATACTCGCGTGTGCACATGGAGTGAAGGCGAAAGAGACAAAGCGAGGAATAGCTGATACGAATCTTTCTTTGTTTACGCGTGTGTGTACATGCTTGTGTCTACATGTGCAATCGATGTCTTCAGTCAAATATGTATGTATGTATGTATGTATGCATGCATGCATGCATGCATGCATGTATGTATATATATGTATATATATATATATCTCGAGAAAGAGAGACAGAGAGAGAGAGAGAGAGAGAGAAAGAGACAGAGAGAGAGATAACGACATATATAATCGTAGGAAGAGAAAACAAGCAAAGAGTGGGATGGGGATGGGGACGGGGATGCTAAGATCCATGGGCAAATTTTGCTGTGACTCTTGTGGGTCTGACTTGCGAGGCCTTGTCCGAATGTCTCGGGGCTCCCGTGGGCTTTCTTTGGGCGTCAGGGGGCTTCTTAGGGCCGTCTTGGGTCCCTTGGGGGCCCTTTGGGAAGTTTTCAGGCTTGGGATCTTCTTGCAAAATCCATTGGCTACCTTGGACCAGTCGACCTAAAGCTTGGAAACAACCTCATGCAGTTACGACGTGGCCTTCTGGATGGATGCGTGTTGGCTCCATCTTTGTCGGATCGTGTCGTGAGCTCCTTAGTCTGGCTTCGGAGCTTCGGAAGGCACGCCAGGGTGGGCGAACTTTGACGGTGGTTCTGTCGGCCCCCATGCACCACTGACCAGGTTGACCGGAGGCATGACACGTCCCAATATGTTTTGTGCCGTGTGTATCGTTCTATTGGGTGCATGACGGTGATCGTCAGCGGTGGGGATCGAGCAACACGTCTCCGACCCTGTGGCCGAGCTTGGGTTCGGTTGTTGTATTCGATCATCGTGAATTTGTCGGTTTGTGGGGTTCTTTCGGTCGGCTGTCCCGTATTGTGTGATGGTCATGCGCTCGCGATTCGATTTGCGACCGTTGTATTGAATGAGTTTGAATTACACGGGTACGCATTTTGGCATGCGCGCTGTAGTCCAGGCTTTTGCGAGTGGTGGCTGAGCTTCTCGCATTCTGCTTGCCCGTTGCGTTCACTTAGATTTGGCTCCAGGTGGCGCAAAGAGTCCACGCTCGATTCGGTGGTGAGTTCTGGTATGGAAGTCTTGATTTTCGGGTAGGGCAAAATACCAGGTGGAGCATGACCTGCGGTGCCACACCACAAGGCGGACAAGGGCTGGCGTCGGGGCGCCACAGCATTTGGTGAGTCCAGGGTGGTCACCGCTTCACCTCTCCTCGAAGATGGAGGTTCGAGGGGACGTCGTCGTTTGGACGGTTTTCGCGTGTTCTGTGGCGCTGTCGTCGTCACGGCTGGTTCCAGCCTGGAAAGCTGGCGAAGACGGACCCCAGCTACTTTCCCCGCTGAGAGTCGTCTAGGGGTGCCCAGATCGTTCTTCCGGTGGAGGAAGACGAGGAAGAGCACAATATAGATAACGACGAGGACAAGGCAGGGCAAGATGAGGATGGAGTGGTATGATGACGAGGATGAGGACGACGCGTACAAGGACTCCTTGAAATGTTTTGGGATTGATCTTTGCCAGTCTTGGCATCTGGACGATGGAGGATGTGGTGGAGAAGCCGACGGGGAAAAGGGGAGAAACTGGTTATGCGATCCACTTCGAGTTTGGGATCGATTGCAGAGTTGATTTGCCCCAAAATCGGAACTTTCGTCGGATCTGGAGCAAATGCGGGGAAATTTCGTAGATCAGCCGAACATTCTAAGTATTTTCTTGTGTTTTCGACCGACGAATCAATTTTTGGGTACATCAATTCTGTAGACGACCCCCTAATTGATCACTCAGCTTCCTCGGCCATCAGAGCCTCCCCGCGCGTCCTTTGAAGTCCCAGCCCTGGAACAAGGACCTCTTCAGTTTTTAGAGTGAGGCTTGGAGTTCTTCGCGCCTTCCTCAGGTTCCTCAGGTTTCCTGTGGACGCTCCTCGCAAGTCCAGGCGCAACCAGGTCAACGCTGGGCTTCGTCCCTCATTCAAGGTTCCCTGCGGGAAGGGTTCAACTCTGTCTCCTTTACGCTCCTCCCTTGCCCCCACGCGCCCTCCCATCTGCGCAGACCTCCGCCGTCGTGACTATTGCGCAACATGTACCCTCGCAGGTCAAGACCCCTTCGACAGGACGGCTTTTCATGTTGAGCCGTTTGAACGTTCCCGAGGCCTTGTGAGGGCCCCTGGAAGCCGAAACTCAAGAGATGAAAAACACCCCGAGCACCATAATTTGCGTTTACTATACGCTCGTGGTCTTTTACGAATCAGCCCTGTCATGTTTGATTCCTTCCTCATGTGCGTGTACTGATGGGCTTCGCTCGTTCGGGTGCTTACTATGAGGGTTTTTCTTTCTCCTGCCCTCTTAAGAAAAGTCAGTCAGTCAGAGCCGCGTTTGGATGGCACATCGGTGGCGGTGCGCGGCTGTTGCACGCACTGCCGCTTGCGGTCGGGAATCGCCAGGTTCGCAAGGGCGCGTCCGTCAGTAGCATGGAGACCACTGGTATGAGTGATGGCACGAGGCGGAGAAAAAGGGAGGAGGACGACAGCGAGGAAGGATGCGAAGAAGGCGTCGGAACTCGTCCCTGGGGCTGTGACGGCCGACGGACCGTCCGCTGCGACTTCCTCACGGCGAGGAGGAGGAGGAGGAGGCTCTGGATCCTCTCCTGCTCCCGTCGCCATCCTCCCACCTCCTGTCTGGAGCGGCGCCGGTCTTTCTGCCGCGGCCGCCCCCAGGCAGTCTCGCAGTGAGATGGGCGCCTACATCGCCGGGTTCTTGCGGAATTGGGTCCAGGCCGTGGGGAGGAGGAGGAGGAGGAGGAGGAGGAGAAATGTTCATAGTAGTAATGAGAACAGTAAGGACAACAATGATAATAAGTGGTGGAGGAGGAATCATAATAACAATACTTAACCGGAGAGTAGGGGAGAAGGAGGAGGAATGAGAGGAGGAGGAGGAGGAGTAAGTTGATTATACTAACAATCCTAGCACCAATAAGCCTATTAGTAAGGACAACGGACATACGTAACCATACGGATATGCGTAATACATTTAAACATAACACGACAGTTGTTAATACAAGCAATAACACTAGGACTATTAATTATAGTGTGAATTTGTGTCTGTTCAAGAAGACCACTTCAAACCATAGTCAACATGCGAATATTCAGAAACGACACTCATAAACATCAGACGATCAGTAGTAGTACGACTAAAAGTTACAATACAAATACGAATACCATCTTTAATATTCGTACTCGTATTTTTCGTAGTGATGCTAATATTATCATTACCAATCATGCTACTACTAATAATACGCTAACCCACCGTAACACGACCACTAACAGCATGATTAGTTAGTTAAAAGGTAGACAATCAGCCTACTCATACTACGACTCATAAGGAGTACATAATATATCTTACCAGAAAATGAATAGTAATGTCATGGTGAACACTAGTATGACAAATCGTAATTCTTTACGCTTCGCGTATCCCCACCAGCCCATCTCACAGCAACAACTCTTGCGAAGCATGCCGACAGTCGTGTTTTTCAGGCGTGCGTCCGCGTGGGCCCGCATATCTCCCCTGTTCCTCCTTCCTCCCGCCTCCTTGTACATCCTCCTTGTGGGGGGAGCGGGAGAAGGACGAGGCGGAGGAGGAGGGAGAGAAAGCGCTCCTCGTGATTTGAGTCGTTTGGGGTTTCTCGTCCTGGTGTGAGTCGTTCGGGCCCTTCTTCCTGGTGTGAGTCGTTCGGGCTCTTCGTGGTGTGAGTCGTTCGGGCTCTTCGTCCTGGTGTGAGTCGTTCGGGCTTCTCGTGGTGTGAGTTGTTCGGGCCCCTCATCCTGGTGTGAGTCGTTCGGGCCCCTCCTCCTGGTGTGACTCGTTCGGGCTCCTCGTGGTGTGAGTCGTTCGGGGCCCGCGTCGTGGTGTGAGTCGTTCGGGCTCCTCGTGGTGTGAGTCGTTCGGGCGCCTCGTCCTGGTGTGAGTCGTTCGGGCCCCTCCTTGTGGTGTGAGTCGTTCGGGCTCTTCGTGGTGTGAGTCGTTCGGGCCCCTCGTCCTGGTGTGAGTCGTTCGGGCTCCTCGTGGGGCCTCTTGGGGGCCTCTTGGAGCCTCTTGGGTCCTCTTGGGGGCCTCTTGGGGGCCTCTTGGGGGCCTCTTGGGGGCCTCTTGGGGCCTCTTGGGGCCTCTTGGGGGCCTCTTGGGGGCCTCTTGGGGCCTCTTGGGGGCCTCTTGGGGGCCTCTTGGAGGCCTCTTGGGAGCCTCTTGGGGGCCTCTTGGGGCCATCTTGGGGCCTCTTGCGACCTCCTCAGAAGCGCAAATGAGCGCTACCCCCTGAGAAGGACAAAATGAGCCCAAAACCTTCGTAAAATCAATAATTTAGAGAACAAGGAACAGCAGCGCTGGCCCCTCAGACGGCCAAAATGGGCCCCAAACCGTCGCAAAATCAACGATTTTGGCTTCACAGAAGAGGAGAGGGTTTTTTCTGGCCCCCCCCGACGGGGCCAGAATCCTCGTGAGGGTCGTCGTTTTTTGGCCCTCCCAGGAGTCGAAGAAGACCCCTCCAACCACCCGCGGGACGCCCTCTCCAGGCCCAGGGGGAGGGGGTAGGGGGAGGGGTAAACCCCTCCCCGAAGGGGAAGAAGGGGGGTTGGGGGGTTGAGGACAGAGAGAGCTCTCTCAACCACTCACGCCCAAAGGGCTGGTGGGATTCTAAAGAGAGAGTGCTATTCAGGCTATGCGCATTACCACCACTCGTTAAATATAACTTATCTTGGTAGGGTAACAGTAATAGCAATACGAGTCCGCAAATTAGTTCGTTCATTCGCACGAATAAGAAGACACATGTTAAGACCACGGGTAAGACGAATGCCAGTAAGAGCCTGACCACTCATGAGAACAACACAGTCGTATGACGAACACAAGGACATCAACCCTCCACGTACTGAGTAGAGGGGCAGGAGGAGGATGAGGAGGAGGAGGCGGAGGAGAGGGTGGAGGCGGAGGCGGAGGAGGAGGACCTGAGCAAACCCAAGTTGTATCAACGATGCAATCCATACTCCTCTCCGGGGCCCCCTCCTCATTAGTCCCGCCGCAAGGGCCTGTAGCTCAGGCGGGAATTCAGTTTAGCGAAGGAAACCGCCCTCATCGTTTGAGGTACAAAGGTTTCAAAGTTCCAGGAAGTTCCCAGCGGCAGCCCTGCTTTGGAAAGGCACCTCCCTGCATGCGTGTGGTCGTTGCTCAGAGTTGAATGTGCGGTCATGGGGTCAAGAGAAAGCTGAGGCGGAAGCCCCACTTTCAACAGTAGCCGCCCTCTCTCCGTAGATTTGCCGCACATTTCTGTACTTGTGGTGGTTTTGGTTCATGAAGTTTCCGGCACTAACCGCCTTACACTGGTGGCGTGCCAGCCTCAAACCGCACAGCTTTTAACATTTTTTTGTACGAGGGTGTGCGGCGCTAAAGCGATAACCACATTTTCAAGTCGACCCGCCCCCCCATCCGTGTAATTGTGGAAGCTCTGCAGATCCTTGGCGCAAGGGTGAGAGCTACATGTCGAAAACCACCAGCCTTTTGATCCGTGTACCTGTTGGGAATGTTCAGGTTCGGGATCGGTCTCTGTTACTGACGTCTGTGGTAAACCGCCCAGGCTGGCCTACGGACGTGTCTGGTGGTGCGTTTTGGAGGCCTCTTGGTTTGCCTTGCAGCAGTCCAGGGGGCCTGTTGGGCCGCCTTGGAGCGTCGGGAACTCGAAAAGGCGAGAACCCTGGCTTTCGGGGCCTTCTTGGGGGCTTCTTGGGAGCCTCTTTTGGCCCTCATGGGGGCCTCCTGCGCTCTGGGGGCGGAAGGCTTGAGTTGTTGGTTCGTGTTCACTCTATCTGGGCTCTTCTTGGGCCGTCTTGGGGCCCTCTCGTGCATTCTTGAGCGCCTCTGGGGCCGTCTTGGAGTCTCCTCGAGCCGTCTTGGTGCCCTCTTGGAGGCCTCTCGGCTTGCCTTGCAGCAGTCCTGGCGGTCTCTTGGGTCGTCTTGGGACGTCAGAAGCTCGAAAAGGCGAGAACGCGATACTCTTTAAAAAATGTGGATTTTGGCCTCTCCGTGCCTTGCTGGAGGCTCTCTTGGAGCCGTCTTGGGATGTCTTAGAGGTCTCTTGGCCCATATTGGCGGCCTCGGGTGGCTGCCTTGGCCGTGTTGGGTAGCTACGACGCATTGGAGAACGCTAGGGACGTGTCTGGTCGCCGACAGAGTCTCAGAAAGGGTTGGCGATGCGCGCGCCTGCGTGCGACCCGGGAGGTGGGGGGTCCTTCAGAACATTCCAAACAATTCCTGCCATGCAGCACTTGGCGTTCTACGAGGGCACGTTGACGGACTTGTAAGGAAGAGGGACAGAGTAGGAGTAGGAGGAGCGGGAGGAGGAGGAGGAGGAGGAGGAGGAGGAGGAGAAGGAGGAGGGCAGCGCTCTCAAATAATACCCGTCGGATTTGTGCAGGCTCCCAGGGGGCCATCTCTGGGCTGGGGCGGCCCAGAGAGCTGGTGTTGGAGGCAGGGCTTGGAGTCCCCCCCGAAAGACTTCCGTTGTATGCCCCGGGACCCCTACTTCAGTTTCGAGCGCCAGCATTCGGGTATAGCCAGGACCACAGGTAAGGGGACCCGGTTACCCGGTTAGTGGTAGGTCTCCGGAGCCCTTGAATTGGCCAGAATCACTAAATCAGGTCTGCCGTAGATGGTGTTTTTCGGGTGACGGCAGTTCCGGTTAGTCGAACGGGGCGGGGGGGGGCCTCCCCCAGTACACATCACTAAACCAGGTTCCATTTTACCCAGTTCTGCCAACGCCCGAATCATGACTGCGCCCGGAAGTGGGGTCGTGTGGCAGCGATGATAGCCACAGTGGAGGGGAACGATCGAGACGGGCTGGCTGTGAGGACCTTCTCCGGGGCGAGCTCCGAGCCGTCTCCCGTCGTCTGGTTGTCTCCTGGTGCACGATGAATTGCACGCGCTGCGGAGTTACCTCATGCCTGAACCCAGAAGCCAGGAGGAGGAGGAGCAGTGGAAGAGTGAGGAGGCGGAGGCCGGGCGGGGAGCGGAGGAGGGCTGCGACGGCAACGCGAGCCGGACCAGTGGTGGCGGGTGAGAGGGCGGCAGGGGGGGGTGGGCGGGGCGGTCCAGGCGGGGGGCGCGGAGAGGGTGCGGTGCGCCGGGCAGCGGAGGGCAGGGAGTCTGAGCCTTGCTCGCGCGGGCTCGCTGGGAGGTGGCCAGGCGTCGGGGAGGAGGAGAAGGGCGACCCTCGCACGTGTCGAGGGCCTGCGAGAGAGCTTTGGGATGAGGCAGGAAGCTCACCATAAGTAATCGGTCTTTAGGACCCCCCCCTTTTTCCCATGGCACCCCCGGTTTGTTGTTTTGTTGCTGGGCCGTGAGATTCTTTCACCCGTGAGTGCCCTTCCCCCTCTTCTGCTTCCAGACAATTCGTCCGTCGAACGTCCCCGACTAGTGCGAGCGCGCGTGCGGATTGCCTCTGCCGTGCCGCGACGATTTTTTGGTTGCTGGGATGCTAGATTCGTACTCAAAGCGACGAGTGTGCGTAACTGCATGATCACGCGCACCTCGTTGGTCGAGGGAATCTGGCTTATCTGCGATCTACTGAGAGTCCCGTCCCGTTCGAGGTTTGTCTGGCCGTTTCGTCCGGGACATCTTCAACATTCTGAACATCGGACAGTTTTCTCGCAGATGCGACGTCATGGTCCAAGCAAGCAGTTTCTTCAACCGTTTTGACATACAACCATCCATAAACGCAATGGTTTTAAACGATTTTGGATTTCGCTCCTGGGGAAACAACAGCAGTTTCGCGTGCCCCCCCAAACAATTTGAAACCCGACGTATTCAAAGTTGTCTTCATATTCTTGGAAGCGACAGTCCAGTCAGCTCGAGACATCCTCCGAATATTGGCTTCGTAGCTTATTTTCAGCTGCAATCGCAAGGTGTGGAACACCCTCCTGTGCCGCACACGTCGCAAGGTGCGGCATCCCCACCTAGGTTCGACTGCGATCCCGCTGTTGCACCTCCTTCCCAACAGCCCCCTGGTCATCCTCATGATCCGCCTCCTTGGTGTTTTCTTCGTCTTCTTCTCCATCTCCGCCCTCCTCTTCCTCGGATCCGACTCCCTTCTTCTTGTTACTTCACTCCGATGCTTACGTATTCCTTTTTTTATAAATGCCACTTGTATGTATATATATATATATATTATCTATATAGATGTGTATATTTATCGAGGAGGGAGAGAGAGAGAGAGAGAGAAAACAAAAAGAGAGGGAGACAGAGGGAGAGGCAGTGAGGGAGAGAGGGAGAGGGAAGGGCAGATAGAGGCAGAGGGAGAGACAGAGAGAGAGAGAGAGACAGGGATAGAGAGAGAGAGAGAGAGAGAGAGCGACGACGTTGTGGACATCGTCCCTGGCCTTCCTTTCCCTGCTCTGCTCTTCTGATCTTCCTGTCACTGTTTTTTCCAGCTTACCCCCGCCCCGCCCGCCCGCTCGCCCTGTACCTCGCGTTTCGCCGGCGCGGC